ATAAGCAATGAGTCTCGGAATTTCGATAGCTACCGGTTTATAAACGACGTCATGAAGAATTAATGCAAACAGCAATTTGCAATCTAGCGTTTAATGGATCACCATAAAATAAACGAAAAAAATGGTACGATACAAATGGATACGTTTTACTTTACTTTACACAATTTAGGTCAAAACTAAACATTTTTGCTGAGATGACTAAAGTTAAAATAATTCTTATGAAATACCGCTGAAAAGCGTTAACATGATAAAGTGACAAGGGAAATATCGCTGAGTATTGATTCACTCCTCGCGGCGACTTTTATATCTGATTTATAAAAAGGATCCAATGCTGAAAGTTCAAATACGTCTTGATTGCACAATTAGAAAGATTGCTCGGAAAAAGTGGCGCGAAAGATGTGCGAGTTCACATTCAAGAAAGGCGAAAACAAGAGGGCCGTTAATGAATCTGGAACTTTTGCCGGAGGCAAGCACGAGCAATTCGATTTGCGCAATTTCCCGTTAACATACCAAAGCATATATTGACAACGCGGCCTGCTGGCGGAATTCGCGAAGACATCGTAGCGTCGTAACCGTTTGCCTTGGCGACTTGAATTATGCAGGTTAGTCTCGACTACCGCCCACACCCGCGAACGTTCGTTCGTTGCGCCGTAATGCGAATTTAACCGGAACTTTGCAGACGATCTAATTAAAGAGTAAAGGACCAAAAGTAGTGCCCGGCGTCTGTTTTCAGTATTTAGATGGAAATTTACCGGCGCGGACGGATAGCGTTTATTTATTCTTACGAAATATGTCCAAGTTTTGATATATTCGGGACTAATTGCTTCTATTGAGACGTGAACGATCGTAATTTCGCAGTGTGTGCGAACTTGGTAAATGTGGCAATAATTTAACACTACATAGCTGCGCGCTGATTAATCTGTAAACGCGATCGGGAGACTCTAATGTGAGAAATTGCGTGGCACGTATACGGACTTAAAAGCAATACATACACCGGGATCTTTATGAGAGAAATTGCGGCGATAAGGTGACTCCGACTTCACTTCTAATGTCAGATAATCGGCACGTAAAGCCCGGTTTAATGCTATCTTTAAGGCTCGATCGGTTATCCACGTAGAGCGGTAATACCACGCTCCGTTTCTGAAAGTTCGACCCTTGTTATCAAAGCTCCAAGTATGTACCCGCTGCGATATATTTGCTCTTCCTGAAAGGATACCTATAAATCTAAGAGAAACCCCCCCAAATAGATGGGACAGCGAAAGGCAGCGTAAGTAATATGAGAATAAACAACGGATCTGTATAACTCCAAATTGATGTCATAATGGGAGTAAGAGTAGATAAATGAAATTTTGCGTTGGAACTTCTATGACAGATGGTCTCGCATTTCTCGGGGAAAATATCTTTTAAAATTGAATATCAGACTCCGGTCTCTTCGTTTGCTACATTATCTTCCAGAAAATGCATCCGCCGTACGGAAGAATAAGAATTTCACAAGGCTTCTTTTTCGGTTCGTGAAAAATATAAATTAAAGTGCTATTAGTCACGAAACAAAATGATTCATAGCCGAAGTAAAGTTATATTGCGAACTCTCTCGTTCAAACGAAAACGGAAACTCGCGCGAAATCTGCCTCGGTAAAAATCGCAGAAGCTGAGAACTTTTATATACAGTCTGAGCGAAAATTAGAATTTATAAACGCGGACTACTTGGCACGCAGTTTGGCGGAATGCTAAAAAAAGGGAAAACAATGAGACAACGGATGTGTTATATCTATTTTTTCAAATTACTGTCACGCCTTAAGAACGGATTGTACGACACGCCGAAATGCATACGCATGCAGAATCTGCTGATCCACTTTCTTCACGAAGTGTCGTAAAGCCGCGCATTCTAGTACGCCACGTCGGATGCACGCCTTATTCCGACGGTATCGGAACGTCGGGACACTTGGAAGAAAGAGAGGGACAGGGAGAAGAGAAGCGTTATCTGCTTCCAGCAACAAAGTTTTCGTGCTCCCGACGTATTTTTCTGTTTGGGTTATATAAACCTCACCTCACAAACTGAATGTTTCGCGAAGATTACCTGTCAGAATACGTATTTTCTGCCGCCAAGTAAATTTCTCTTTCGGGCAGGCTGCGAAAATGTTTCAATGCGGCAGGGATAGTCCTTTTAGAAATTGAGCGTATTACTCTTCCCCCATATCCTTTCTTATTGTTTCGATTTAACATAAGAAGGATGCAGACACGTCGCAATACGAAGAACATTGAGTGCATAGTGGCGAATGAGACGCCTGAAAATTATTGTTTAATGCAACTCCCATTTTCTGCTCTGTAACTAATTAGTTTCTGGGATTTCAAACTATTATTTAATATGAACAAAGTGTTGGGTATTATTTTCAAAATATGAAAAGTATTTGTCTTATATATTGATAAATATAACAATCGTAATGTTTGCAATAGAAGAAATTTTTATATTCTACACATACATACGCGGAAAAATAAATATAGAAATTTTTAGTAACGCAGTCTTCCGATAGTTTATTTATATTGAAAAAGGCAAACCAGGACAAGACCGGACAAGTACAATAATATAGACAAATAAGTGACAATTGTCATGTTTATTGTTGAATTTTTATTGTGGACAGAAATAGTGAAAGAGAAAGAGAAAGAGCTAGTGAGAAAGAGCAGAACACAAACTGTAATGCTGTCTCATTCTTGCTGTCTAACGAAGAATCGTAACTTGGTCCTAAGTTCTCCTGAGAGTGTCGGATCTCTCGCGGTAAAGGTAAACCATGAAGCGGTGGAATTACGAGTTGCGTTCTAATACTTCATGTGCTTCTCTCTAGTTACAATTGCGACATTGCTACAAACGCAGTTCTGTTGACTGTATTTGAGTGAACAAACTATTCTCAGTGCGCTCTATATTGCTTTATTCTTATAATAATTTCTACTTAACATGCATACACTCTAGATAACGACTATGATATATATAGGTATAAGTAAGAGATAACGTAATTATACTTACAGATACGTGCCACAAGCATAAATCACGCTAAATTTTGAATTTATTAGATACATATTAATCATGGATTAATGATATTATTAAACTCATTACATACATCTGTGTATATTATCACTTTGACTGTCACATATATTTACATTCCTTTGGGTATTACATTTGCATAAATGACGATTTGATTTTCCATTTAATTCAAATTTATATTTGTCCTTCATACGTGGATAATGTAAATGAAGCAAAAAGTAAGTCTTTTTATCATATTTCAATGCAATAGTTACGACTACAAATGATGATTTATTATAGGCCTGCTATGACAATCAGAATATAGATATTAATTATTGTTTGACAAAACAACTCCACTGACACACACATACACAGAGAGTATAGATTACGTCATATAATCAATTGATAAGCTTAATAGGTTAGTCACATAATTGAATTGCAACATTTGAGATGGCGATATAACTGCAATCGTAAGATTATTTTCTTTGTTTTGTTCACACACATTTTGCAACATTTTAAAATCGGAATATTTGATATCGTATAAATTATTTATATCTGCTTTAATATTCGTATTTCTGATAGGATTAAGAATTTAGTTACACGTACTGAAAATTTCGTTTCAAAATTATTAGCCTCATTTCCATCATTATTATGTCCATCATATAAAAACGATCTAATATAAAATATTAGGATTTTCTTCTATGGCTGTCTGCGTAATTATTTATTCAATCGCATAGTTTCTAAAGATTTCTAAAAGCTAGAAATATATTTTGCTTCCCATATAGTGGTTTAACAATAACAACGAAGAATATCCAACCACAGATGCGAATCATATTTTCGATTTCTACGGTTTCGCGCAGATGGAGGAGTTCAATGGAAATGTGGTTATCTCTTTGTACGACAGGACCCGTTTACCGTTTAACAGAATTCAGCCAATTACGTTAAACGAGAAGTATCTAACAAGATTTTCAGAGATCATACTGTTCCACTTCTCTTTCAAAATACGATTATATTATTTTTTATCCTTTTGAGAATATCCACAATTTTCAAACTTTATTGTGCAATTATAGCATATTGAAAAAATCACGAGCATTAAAAGTCTTCGAAATTTGATATGGCAATCGTGAGATGTAAAAGCTTATTTTAATTATCCACAATTATCTCATATATTTATATATAATTAATTTACAATCAATATTTATTGGAAAATTATAAAACAGTTATGACAATTAATGACTTATATCAGTATTCATTTATTGCATGTATTTAACATTCTGGTAAACAAAATGCTAACAATGTTGATAGAGTTTGCATATTATCTAATCGATTCTTATTATGCTTGTGCACATGAATATTCTTGAGTATAGTATTTTAAATTTTGATAAACTATGTGAAGTATTGCGATACTTCAAACGCAATTGCCTTTGCCTTTACAATTATTTTAACTACACGAACTAATGACGAACGTTAATGGACTATAAGTAAGCTTTTATCATCTGATTCGTCATTGCTTTTTTATACGTACTTACACGTTCGTTTTATGTTCATATTTAGTTGTCATCTATATATTATTTTCATTGTAGTTAATACAAGAAGAGTTAATGTTATATATTAATATTAATCAATTTAGTATAATTTTGTTAATAAAATAGAATTATTTTTTTAATTATTTAATTATTATGTAATGCAAAATATAGAATTAAATGTTATAATTGTTACTTACATTTTGCATTTAATATTTATATAAATATTAATAACAAGAAATTTATTATAATACAAAGAAATTTATGAAAAGAATTAAAACATTGAAAATTTCGATGATTAAATTATGTGTAAGCAAATATTACTATAAAAATCGAGTCAAGTATTTATTTGTATATGTATACAAGCATGATACAAAAAGAGAGAGGGGAGATATCAAGGAAAAGTTACATATGTACATAGAACTCAGTGTATATATCACTCTGATAATGCACTACCGAGACAGAGTGAGTCAACCTTTCCTGACAATCAGTCGCCTTCGCAATGACGAGCTATTCGTTTCTCCGAGCTGCATTCAGCGTTATTTTCGCTGTCACGTACGTCTTTGCTAACGATACGTTGTCTTTTCCTCAAGGTTTTTTGTTAGGCACAGCTACATCTGCTTATCAAATAGAAGGAGGTTGGAATATAAATGGTATGTTAATACCAATACTGTTTGTTTATTAAACATTAAAACGTAAAAGCATGAAACATATTTATTGGTGTCTTAGGCATATAAACGAGATTCGTAGAATATGCCATTCTCGGCAAATTTGCAAATAATTTATAATGCATTTAATTTTAAAAAGGCAAAGGCGAAAGCGTTTGGGATCGATGGACACACGACAATCCAAATCTCATACTTGATCATAGTAACGGTGATGTGGCTTGCGATTCATATCACAAATATAAAGAGGATGTACAGTTATTGAAAGATATGGAGGTATGTTCCGCGTAGATGTATTTTATTAGAAATAATTTAGTGAAATATCGGCATACAATTTTAGGTTGACTTTTATCGATTCTCTGTCAGTTGGACACGTATCTTACCGACTGGTTATCCTAACGTGATCAATCAAGATGGAATCAATTATTACAAAAATCTTATTAACGAGCTTTTAGCAAATAATATCGAACCGTTTATTACTTTGTATCACTGGGATCATCCAGAATATTTAGACAAAATGGGCGGATGGACCAATAGTTTAATGGTCGAGTGGATATCCAATTATGCGAGAGTCGTTTTCAAAGAACTTGGCCCTAAAGTTAAATATTTCACGACGATCAATGAACCTGCTGATGTTTGTCAAGGGGTAGCAACAGACAAAGTAGCACCAGGTATCTTATCGATTTATCTATCGCAACAATAGATACGTAACGCTTACCGAAGATTGTTCAAAGATCTACAATAAAATGTGCTTTCAGGAAAGAATTTAGGCAGCCCTGGCAAATATTTATGTATGCACAATATTCTGAAGGCGCATGCCAAAATTTATCATATCTATCAGACGGAGTTCCGAAAACAACAAAAGGGCCAAGTTGGCATAGTTATATCTTGTCCAGGTGCATTCCCTAAAACTCCTAACGATACTGCGGCAGTAGACGCGATTTTCCAATTTGTATGCGGATGGGTAGCACATCCCATTTTTTCAAAAACTGGTGATTATCCAGAAATCATAAAAGCTCACATAGCCGACAACAGCAAATTGGACGGTTATCCAGCCTCGCTCTTGCCGACATTTTCACCAAAATGGGTGCAATATATTAAGTAAGAAACCTATAATATGAACAATTGATTCGTTAATGTTCGTATACAAACAAATTCGTAAGTAATGATCAACATAGATACACAACTATAATAATTTTTTAATGTGCACGTAATCATAAAGTTTTTTATACTTGCAAATTTTCCTTTTTTAAATATTTAGAAATAGAGAAATTTATATTTATATTTTTTAAGGGGTTCTGCGGACTTTTTCGGGTTAAATCATTATACTTCAAAGCTTGTGGAAACAGTGCCACGAGTAGAAGGGGAACGGTGGTACGATTATTCCGGTGTGAAACAGACCATAGATCCATCATGGCCAAAAAGTGCTGCGGATTGGCTCAGAGTTAGTTAGCATGGATGATGCATACTAATTGCATGTATCAAACTACCGGATATCAATTTTCGTGAGCTCGAAACTTCTGTTTGTATAGGGCTCGCGCGGAATTCATTAATTTGACCCTGATAACACATCAGGCGCAATTAAGTCGTACAGATGGTTTAACTTATTATTATGAATAATTCATTCTGTGAATAATTCATAGATCGTACTCAACGCCATAAATTGGAAATCAGAATCGAGTGTATTTCAGAAAATATGCATATTCCGAGCATTCAACAGAATTGAACATAAACGATGAAATTATAATCGATTGCGGAAAGACGAATGATTAACTGTTGCACAATGTGTTGTTGCAGATATCTTGCATCTGATTAGATACACCGATATCTTTTCTTGCATATAATTTCTTACATATATAACAAACAGTTTAGAGTAGTAGTTTTCTTGACAGTGGCATACGAGAATATTATTTATATTTGAAATAAGTTATGCACATTTTAGGTTGTTCCCGATGGATTACGACAAGTTATTAACTTAATTTCCAAACAATATGATCGTCCTCCTATCTTCGTGATGGAGAACGGCTTTGCCGATGAATGTTGCACTTCTGATTCTTCAAGAATCTCTTACTTACGTTCTTATATGAAGGCAATGTTGTCAGCTATTTACGAAGATGGATGTAATGTAAAGTCGTATACCGCTTGGAGTTTGTTAGATAACTTTGAATGGGCAGACGGTTACAAGTGAGTCACTATTATTTATCGCGTTTTGCTGAATTCTAAGTGCTATCTGCAAAAAAATGCCAATGATTTACATATTTGATTAAACGTTTTAATCAAATAAAACGATTTAATCGAGCGCAATTTTCTCCGATAGGGTAAGGTTTGGATTGGTAAACGTCGACTTCACGAATCCAAATCGAACAAGAACTCCAAAATTATCGATGAACTGGTACAAGACTGTTATTAAGACTCGGAGAATTGATTCTATTTTTGAATCACCAGATGTGGTGAATATTCCTTAAGTATGCAAAAAATAAATATGTATGTATGCACGTCAGGTGTTACATAAAAGTATTACTCAGACGTAAAAAGTATTACTCAGAGTTGCATTTCTAAGAAGTGTTTAAACTAATTACTTACAAGTCGCATTATATATTCATTTTCTCATCTGAATTTACTATGATTAAAATTATAAGAAATTATGCTCTCTATACAAATATACGTATATTAATAATGCAAAAATGTATTATTCTGCACATGAATAAAAATATCATCTTGATATCTATAGAAAAATTACTCAATGCAAGCTAGAAAAGATATATGTATAGTATAGGCAGGAAGAAAGGAGATAGAAATATTTTAAGTAATACTAGTTCCGATAATGTATGTGTAGAATATTCCAATCTACGATCAGACGAATCTCACAAGAAGCATCAGAGCAACCATAGCAATCGCGATTCGAGAAATAAACGAAGCACCGCTTTTCAAAAAGGAGTAATCGCATGCCATTACTCCCGGGAAATATCTTTCGCCATGTTCAAAGCGAAAACCTTGGTAAAGTAACGAGAACGCTTTCAGCGAAACGAAGTAACTCATTATGGCATACGGTCTGTTATTTTTATTCGCACGAACCTTCAATCCAGTGAATTTCAGCGGACTTTGAACAGTTCCTATGCGATAAGTGGAAAATTTTAAACAGAAAGAGCAATTAAAATAAATTTAGTGAATATCAAATCCATTAATTGTATAATCAGGACTTTTGCGTTGCTTTAATACTAAAATTAATTATAATATATCAGAAATCTTTTCTTTTTTGATACTTTAACAAGCATTTGTCTAACTTTTATTTTGTTACTATTAAGAGTTCATCGTCTTTTTATTTTAATCAACTTTATGGTATAATAAAATGATGTGAAAAATTATTTTTTCTGTCTTGTGAAGTATAATAACAGTAAAAAAAATGGCATAACAATTCAAAATATACACAATAATTTTAAAAACGAATAACGGTCCATCTTCCGCTTAATCTGTTGCCGGGTTTGTGCTTCTGCGTTGGTTAGATCGAAATGCCAGTAAGTGAGATAAGGCGTTAAACAAAAGGGTCTAGGCCGGCACGGCGATGCTGTATAAATGCTTCGGTGCCTATCTCGTTTATACAGCTTTCTATGCATACCGACCCTGCCGGATAATAAAAAGAAGGTAGGACGGAAATAACAGATCGCGCTTCGGCAAGCAAAATCTCGTGTAATTATCCAAGAGCGCCGTTGCACGTGCACTCGTATCACGTTCGTCGATGCTCCGCGAAATATACTCAAAGCCTTGTAACGAAACTGATGAGTGCGATATATATATATAAGAATGTTCAAGATCGACGGCACCAATTTGCTCGGCGTGCAATTACAAAAATGTCTATTAATATTGAGCTTTACTTTGCCGAGATATTAATGATGTTCATTCCATTACAATCAGATCTCAGTGTCACACGCAGGTAATATCAATGCGAATATCGAGAGTACGTCATTACTATAGTTACCGCCGGCCATTCGTCAGTATTCCCAGGCATCTTTGGCCGTTCATCAATATCGGCTAGGCGGGTGTTAATTGTATCTGCGCGATGTGTTTACTGCAGTATCCCCGTGCAAACAATAATTTACACATAATTGGTATAATTTGGATAACTCGTGGCGTATCAAATTATATCGTGTAAACACGCGCAAGCCCATCTGCGCGTGCATAGTCCGCAACTCGATAATTATGTATTGGTACGTATTAAACGGGTCGCGTGAGCAGAGTCGATATTTTCGACGAACTACTAAGAGGCATCTAGACGGGAATATGCATACGCGCCGCAACAACTCGGGTTGCTCAAAGATCGTTTAAATTCTAATGTAAATATTGTATGTGCACAATATATGCATGTAGACCGAAAATCCGTGCTCCGGAATCCCGTGGGTGAGATTAGCTGTGCGCTGCGCGCAGAGCCGAACAAATTTGTTTGTAGTGGGACAAGGCCGAGACTCTGTTTTGACGCTTAATTTTATTGCTCGAGATATGATAAAATAAGTGATTATATGTTGCTGGATTTTACGATTTCAGCAGAGCAAGTAAAAAATTTCGGAAAGAGTAAAACTTACTTTAAAAGCTGTGTAGAATTTTCCTGTCTCTTTTGCTTATAATGCTCACGACCTGAATTTTTTATTTTGCAAGTAAAAAGATAAGATGTCCTTGACGTGTCTTTTAAGCAAATAATTCTGCAGGTTCTGCAAGGCTTGTTTTACATTAGATGGATTAAATTTACGTCGTAAAAACCTCGTGTGCACGATAATACTCTTAATTGCGTAAAAGAAGTGTTTTGCGCGACGATAGAAAATACGAAAAGACTTTCCACCATTCGCTAGAAGAAAACAATAATAGTTATCTCGCCAATGTATTTTCGCCGTGAAAAACAACCGATTTCAACCGTAATGCGTTTAATCATCAAGGAGTGCTCGAATCTCTCTTTCTGTACGCCACTTACTATCCATTCTTACTTTTCCTACACCTCACAATGTTGCAAGCTGATAGCGCTTCAGCGAGAAGCGCAGAAATATATCGGCAAGGAAGCTCCGAGGAAAGTGATGAGAATAAGAAACTCCTATTCACTATCTTTCTCCTTCGTTCAGAAATCTTCTCCGAGTCCCATTTCATAAACAATCTAACGGAGGCGGTATACTACGACGGACGCTCAATGGCAACCGCTTTTGTGCCCAGGGGAATGCTAGGAGCGTCAAGAGAAGAAGGAGAGAATGAGAGGGGGAGGGGGGTTTAGTTAGACGTGTCCGTGAGAGGCGAATCCGTACGACGATGTCGGCGTAATTGTGTAACTTTGTGGCTGCGATGTACGAAACAATAACCGCCGGGCAAATCGCATCAAACAATACCACGGCAGATTGCATCTCGCCACGCGCGACGCGCGTCTCTCCTTTTTTCGTGCTGATCTCTTTTGTTCTTGGCCTTTGCGTCGACTTTCGCCGTGTCCTTCCAACAAATAACTGAGCGCTTCTATCGTCCCGCGAAATCGTGATTCTTAAAGGCTACCACCTTCGGTGAATCCTAGCTAAGAGGGCCGCGCAAGAGGCGGCGGATAAAACGCGTTATCGGGCACAGAAACGATTACGCCTCTTGGTGCACGAGTTTCGAGTAGGCAAGAGAGCGAGGGAGCGCAAAAGGACGCTCGACGAGAAGAAAATGTTCTTTCCTATCGCTTTCTGATAACCTCCCGAGGATGCCGCCATTGCGATAAAAAAGAGGTCTCGATAATGGCACGAGAAGATAGAAAGAATAACTGGACAAAAGTCTATGTACATATTTACCATCTACTGATCTATATTTTATTGCCTTTCACAAATGCGTAATGCGAATATTACTTAATGTCACAGAAGGATCAAAGACATTTTAATTATGTTAATATATCTTAATAAGTAATCTTTTTTACTTCATGTTATTAGTTTTTTTTTAAATTACTTTAAAAAATATTTTACTCGTTCTATCTGTACCTATAATTAATTTTTATGGGAAGTTAGTAAAACGCAGTTATTTTAAAATATTAGTTTACTAGAGTTAATGGAATTTGTAATCTCAAAAGACACGCTTGCAACACATATTGTATATATTACTATATTTAGTTAATTCAAAATGTAATAATTCATCCACAAAACATATCCCATTTGTTACAAGCTGCCATCTTTAATTATGCATTTGCATCACTTCCATTATAACTGTCCTATGCATTATTACACGAAAATCAGACAGACAGGGACTTTCCACTACGGCAACGTAATTATTTAGCAGGCATGAATTACGTTTCAGCGAACAATTATTGATAATAGCGATATAATTTTAAAACTGTGCGATCCTATTGCGACAATTATGCAACGTCGCTCGTAGTGAACGACGATCTGTTAGAGCGTTTATCAATTTTTTTTAATACGTAACGCGTACGAGATATATTTGATAATAGTTCAGTTCTCAGAGTATACCGTGAGCTTCGTATATTTTAGAAAAAATGAAAGCTACAATGATGTGGCATTATAATATCAATTTATTATAAATCGTAATATTTACAACAAAATAGTACCACGTATTTCAGTATGACGTAATATTATGCATGCTGAACCATGGGCTGTTTTTTTTAATTATTCCTAATAAAGTTAATCGGTAAGAAAATGCCAATTATTTGCTATGATGTAAACGGATTTATTATATTTTCGAGTGCGCAATAATTTTAAATACTTGTAAATGTTATATGTAATGCATACATAATTGAAATCCTAGAATTATATTTAAAATTCATAAGATGTGTAATCTTAATGTAATTCACTTTGTTCTACATATAAAATTTATACATGCCAAATAGCAAATATTAATTTTAATTTAATAAAAGTTAATTTTCTTTTAATATTGATTATCATTTTTATCTCTGATTAAACATCTCTGATTAAACATTTTGTATATTATATACTTAATTACTAATATGTAAAATAATAACAAAAATTGAGACTAATATGTACAAGAATGATAAAAAATATAATTTCCAATTGATTACAGTGTAACAAAATCTGAACTTTTACGTTTCAAAGAAAGATGAGATATAAATATCTCAGTAAATTGTTGATATCTTATTTTATTTGTTATTTGGCAATATAAATGAAATAATAATTATGTTGCACTCACTAAAAATTAATTAATTTTTTTCTTAGTATCTACTGACGTTTTTGTAAAACAAGTAAATGATATTTTTATCAATTTATAAATAATTATCAACGCGCTGAGTAATATTATAAATGTGACAATTGATAAAATTGCTATAATGTCCGTGTCATATCTCTTATACCAAGGTTCATTAGCAATGCTTGTATGAAGATGGAGAGCACTCTTATGACGAATAACAAATTCAATCCACCAAATGGTATTTTCCAAAAGATTATAAGGTTTATCTTCATTCAATGCTTTAAGTTCGAGCATTCTTTCTTTATATCTAGAAAATGGGAATAATTATTAGCATATTTAAAAAAATATGTTGCTCTTTCTCTACAATTACACATTTTGATTGTGATTATATAAGAATCTTATATAATTACTACATATCAATATATCTGATTGATATATAATGATATTTGTTTGAAAACTACGTTTTTATACAAAAATATCGATATTTAATATTACATTTAAGAGATATAATTTGTCGTGTAAAGAGATATTTGTATAAAAAATGATTACCTTTTATCGCTTATTATTTCAATTATAGATGCGTTCAAATCTTCTTTTGTAATACTTATAACATTTAATTTCTTTGCAACTCCAAGAGTTACCATTTTTAAAACTTGAGTAAATTGATCGGCTAATATCGGTAGTCCTAATAGTGGTACCGCATAGTGAACAGCTTCTTCCGTACTTTGAAGTCCACCTTGGTATATAAACATTCTAATATTTGGATGAGCTGCGGAACAAAAAATATAACATAATGATAGAAAATGAAAAAAATGCATTTCTTATTATGGCACTATGTTAATTTACCAAGGATGCTTTGTTGAGCAAACCATTGAGCGGTGTAGATATTGTCAAGTTTATTTGGCAATTCCTTATCAAGCTTCCACACGATTTTGTATGGCAAGCTTGCAAATACATCGATAAATATATCTAGCACATGGTTGGGAAATGATGATATTTTAACATTCGTGCCTAGACTCATGTAAATAAATCCATTCGGTGCGTCTGCCATAAAGTCTTTAAGATCCTAAAATAAGACAATTATTGTCACATATTTATGTTAAAAGAAGCAATATCTATAACAATATAGCAATAGCTAACTTTTGAAGAAACAAACGTCACACTATAATATTAAAATATTAATGATATTGTTTAAATTAATAATTACTTTCGGTAAATCTGCAGATTTTTTTGAAACATGTAAGTTTCCAAATGGTATAAAATTAGGTGTTGTTGGCCTGACAAATGAGAGAACTTCTTGTTGATTATAGAGAATAATACTTATGTTCCTCTCCAGATCACTTATGTCCGGTATATTTTTTCCGAGATATTTTTCTGCTAACATTTGCTGATGCGGATAGAAGTTGTTTAATACATGATATAAGTGATACCACTGGTCGATAAAATTCGTAATTCTTTTCCACAATGATAAATTCAAATCGGTGTTAACTCGCATCTCCCAAGACGAAGGGTGTGATGGCAAAACGGGTATGCCTTGAAGATACATATTATAACTGACCAATCCTAATGACAATATACCTATAAATATATATAATATAAGTATGAGACAATGAGATTTTTATATACAATTATTTAAACAAAATTTGAAGTTTATACAAAATGATTATATTATATATATGTATCATTTATATTTTATAATATAAAAAGTAATTAGGCTTTCGATATGTTTGGCTTCTACGATTTTTCTTAACTACACGATAATAACGCTGAGAATAAGAATGAATATTAAGCGAAACGGGTGAGAATATTATATTCTTCGGTTGATTTTGTGTAGAATTATTGTAATGAATTATTAATTTAGAGCTTAACTACAGAAATATATAATGTTAAAAACTTAAAAATTGCCATAAGCTATAATATTTGTTTTTGAGAAAAAATTTACTAAAAATTTGTTGTTTAAAAAAAACAATTCTGTATAATAATTTCTATCACTGTTCTTACCTATAAGAGGTGCATTAAATCTATGTGCCAAGGCATATAAGCCAGGTGTTATTAGAACTTCTGCGATAACTACGTCGAATTTTTGGTCACTGTTTGGTGCATACATCTTACGTACTTTGTCATGTTGATAAATATTTTCCGTTATTACATGGCCCATAGGCTCAATTTGCTCTTGTTGTGTTGTTATCCACGTTTCACCATTCAGTATATTTTTAAGAAAATCCAGTCGTTGTATTTGCTCGTAATTGTGTTTAAAGTCGATTTCTGTCAAATTTGTCAAATTGCTATTATTAATTGGATCCGTTGTTAAAACGACGACTTCATGTCCCCGTTGACTCAAAGTAATCCATATCGGTCGATAAGGGATTTGATGACTATAGGATGGTATTGGAATAATCGCCAAGATCCTTGCAGCTTCTATTGGTACGGCCATGCATAGAAAACTAGCCATCCAAAATGTCACAATAGCAATCAATCCCATTTTCCGTTTTCTAAATAATAAACAATAATAAACGTGAAATGAATAAATACGTGAATGATATAAATTCAACAGTCTCTGTTGGAAATCGTCAAGACGATTTTTCCACGACACTTAGAATAAAATATCTTTTCCTTACACTGAGAAAAATGGTTTTATTATATTAACAAAATTCTTCTGGTTGACCGTATTTTAGTCGAACGAAACAGAATTTCTGGTTATCGTCACAAAATTTTACACCTTATATCAACACCGTTTGGTTAACTTTACTATAAGGATTTGAATAAGTGTTTTCTTGTTGGATCTACAAAACTTCTTGTTATATTTACATAAATCGCAGCGCTCTGCAACAGTTTTGTCATCACTCACTAAACGGTTGATCAACTGTTCGCCGCATTCATTTGTTACACTGCTACTGCGCCCTCGCTACTCGCGGCGTGTATCGCGCGCATTAGATCTTTCGCGAAGCAATGGCGTTAAGTAGTCGGAACAGTCTCAACTGAGCTCGCTAAAGTTTTACGCGTCGTGGAATCCATTACGGAATATTAGTTAGGCCGATGGCAGAGAACGAGAAGTAAGCACTTATGTCTGTCGTAGACGTCTGTCGTGGACGTATGGTAAGGCAGAGAAAAACGTAGTCGTGAAAGGTTATTGGATACGTGTGGAAACGACTACGACATACATAAGTTTTTACGTCTCGGTCTCTGCCATCAGCCTTACATCCGAAAAGTTTTATGATCACGTGGTGTTTTTTTTTTATGAAATATATGTATACCAGTGATGTAATGTTTCCTACCGGGCTCGGGAGCCGGGAGCCCGGTAGGAAACATCACATCACTGAGTATACTTTAAACCAAAATATATTGTTAGTATTTTACAAAAACCACACCTATCTGAACTTGTTTTTTAACTACAAAGTTGTGTTAACCTAACAAAACGATATAGTAAAGTTAACAAGAAATTCTGGTAGAGTTTTGTAAATCTAACAACACAATGTGGTAAGGTTTACAAGAAATTCTGGTAGAGTTTTGTAAATCTAACAACACGATGTAGTAAGGTTTACAAGAAATTCTAATAGATTTAAACAGGATGAAATTTAACAGAATCTTCTGGTAATTCCAACAACAAATTTGTTTCGTCTATTTTCGAACAAACGTACTAGTAGAATCAACCAGAATTTCTTATAATACAACAAAACTTTTTTTCCAGTGTAATAATTTTTTAGAGTTAGATTATTAATAATAAAACACTTTTTTGTCTAATGTATGTTAGCTAGTAATCGCGTACAAATTATATAACTTACAACTTGCGCGTATAAATATAATCTACAGAACATCTAACGAACATTACGGCGCAATAATACATGATATGTATTCGTAATGGGACATGCATTATCTGTAACAGACGTAATTAGGTATTCACATTTACAATACATATTTTTATATTTAAAATTCGTATATATTAATATCGAAATAATAAATATAATATTGTTATGTAATAGGTTTCAATTTATTAGCTAGCTTGGCGACTAATATGCTGCTCAAATTCAATACAACAATTTTCAAAATTTTTAATAAATGACATTAAATTCTATCATAAATTTCACCATTTGATAAGGAGATTTTTTACATTTTTCTGTTACATATGATTGCAAGTCATAGACTGCATTTACATTAGTTATCTAGAAACATTATTATACGTTATCATAGACTACGTTATTATAAAAATATCTATCGTTATAACTATTAATGTGAAATGTTGTGTAATCACTATTTTATCTCAACTATGTTATAACTGGTATTATAACTAAAAACCGACGCATTTACACAACATATTTTTTATTAGTAATTATAACTACAGTTTTTTTAAACTTGATCCTGATAATGACGTTCGTGTAAATGTAGTCATGGTCAATTAGTGTTTGGGCAGAAAGTGAAAGCAATGGTATTCGTGTACGATGCACGTGCGTATCTGATGAACCATGGTCAACGAAAAACTTGCAAAATCAACCGACCGAAACTGGTTTCTTTCTTTCATTCTTTTCCTCTTTACTTTTCACGCTACCTTTCTTTATCTGATCACGCAAACTGGCCCTCGTTTTTCTTCTCACCGCAAGAAAGTGAAATCTTATCATTAGCCTGTCACCGTAACTTGGAACAACAGTTTTGAAAGCATACTACACTATAAAATTCTGTTATTGTTTGCTGCTATCAAAAATTTCAATACATAATTATTTCAAAATTATTATACAAAATGTAAAAGATAGTATTGCTAATTTCAAGAAATTCGCTAATCATAATGATATATACACTCAAAAAAATATTTCGCTGATGTAGTTAGATTTCTAGATATCGCAACAAGAATGTATCGCTATTTTTCGTATCTGTGAAAACATTGTTTGTCACATATAGAATTTATAGCAGTAATGTTCTAGCAATAGCTTCTGAAAAATTTAAGTACCATTGCTAAATGTTATTCATTGCATGATCTAACACGTGATTGATCTTATATAGATAGGCGCTTTAGAGAAACTTTCTTTTTAAAGTTCACAAACAATACAGATATATATTCTGTTTCTGTCATCTAAACTGATTAAGTAATTACATATGCAATATCACAACAGTTGCTGATCATTTATCTGTTTTAGTTAATTTTTTACACCTAGAAAATTTTAGCTATTATTGCAAGATCATTTTTTTGAGTGTACCGATACATATAGGCAAAAAAACTTTATATTACCTTGATCGAACGTTTATTTTTCTAATACCAAATTTTTTATGCCAGAACAAACGTGAATAAGCACTTTTAAAAACTCTTGAGACACGAGAAGAAGTTGGCAAGACAACTAACAGTCCAATTGGCAATTCACTTAATAAAACACTAAAGATAAAGATTAATATTTACAAAGTTTTATCAAAGTATAATTTTTTATATGTTTACAATGCAATAAAATGCTTATGTTAACAATAATTATATAGAACTTACTTAAACGTTTCACGTACGCTTCACACGAATGAATGCTGATTTTCTACGATGCAGTGTTTTCAGATTATTGGATTCTCCCTCTGCGGTAGCAACATTTATGACGTATATGTCTTACATAACACTAATCATAGATTTTGCAAAGCTGTCAGATATACTGACGTGTGTTAAGTATTCGGAAACATATAATAATAAATTCAAATTTTGGTTTTAGAATAAACATTACAATATATTAAATATACGATGGAAATTTTTACGTATAATTTTGGTATATTTAATGATATTGTGCTATTAATTAACTACTTGCCTTACACTAACGAGTGCTACAGATTTTATGCCTAATTTGAAAAATATGAGTGTGTATACATAATAAACACGAGATATTCATGATTGCTATGAGCGCTAAAATATTGTATCAAGAGAACGCTGTTGTGTAATGCTTGTTGTCTTAAGCTTATTGTCTTAGCTCGTATCTTTTTCATTTTGCATTCTGCATTTTTTTTAACAGAATTTTCCATCTTTAATTAAATATTAATTAAATAACATCAAAAATACCTATATAGAGAAAGCAAAATACAATAAATTCTGCTTGTTTTATTTCAAATGATTATTCATTTATGTGGAACATTAAATTTTTCTTTCTTATCTTTTCTACAATAAGACGATTTCTACAATATTTGTGCCTTTAAATATTATGATTCCGTGTTGTCAGTAATTCTTAATGAATGAGCTACTCGTTTGTAATGACGAATGCCTATATCAAGTACATTGTAAGTACTTAGAAAATTACGAGAACTTCTGTAATCCACGATATTATTGAAGCTCCATATTTCCGACATCTCAAGGATAAGTTCGATAATAACGATAGAAACATTATGGCGGAAAATGGCATTTTCTGCGTTAGTGCTGTACATGATAAGAGTCGTAATAATAAAATCCACATTAATCTTTCACGAAACGCTCGTGGAAGAAGGGGGGATGGGCGCTCATCGTGTTTCAGCCCGGCACTGCGGAACTATTTATGACTCTAGTCCATTTGTCGAACGTCACGAGGGATATCCGGAAATTGCTTTAAACGCGTAATGGCACGTCCGCTTTCAGAGTTTACCCCGGTTTGGTTACCAACTGCCATAATAAAAACGTTGATATTGTCCGCGATGGCACTGCCGGCGTGCGTGACTATTGCGAATTGACGAAAACGATCATCAGACGTCGACAGATAGACATTCCTTCTCCTGGATGTAAAGCGATTTCTAGCAATTACACGCAAATCGTATGGCTAAATTCTATCTGTATTAAGTTCTCTACACCGACTGCCACATTCTGCAGAAAGCAAAGTTTGAAGGTATCGGAGCATTGTAAACTATTTTGATATATTTAAAATAATTCGTGCGGCAAGAAACATTAGAATGCAATAATCGATTAGTCGACCCTTTCGATCCTTGTGACGGACAATTGAAAAGTTTTATATCACGAAATATAAAATAATATAAAAATATATAAAAATTGAATCTTTGTGTTAAGTGGTACGCTTGTGAATTAAATAAGTAAAGAAGTTTCAAGCGCAAATAAAAATTTTTTTTTAATATGTTATTAATATTATCAATGTTATCAATGTTATCAAAGTATTGATATGTTATCAATATTGATAATACGTTGCGTATAATTTTTTAAATTAAAATCAATGACTTGTAATATGTAAAAGCAATTATGTTGGCTTATGTTGATATCACGCTAAGTTTAACCGAAGATATTTCCGTTATCGCCGGGATTCTTCTGCAAGTTCGGCGTACGTTTCAGCAAAGCTGAAATTATTAACCGCAACTTCCATATTGTGTCTTGTGTAGAACTGGGTGGCATAATTAAGAGGACTCCCGCTGTCGTTGACTAGCACGTGACTCGACCTCGGTACGGCCTGGTACATACATTTTCAGACATGCAAACCGACGCTGTGAAACCGACGACGTGTCTTAGGTTCGGCTTTACTCAGTTATCTAGATCTAGTTACGAATTTGCATTATGGGATAGGTTGTCAGAATTGCTCCACAAAATTGGGGAGGATCCCTCGCGTTTGTTTAAATTAACCCTTTATCGATTTTTTTATTCTTTTTATATTCAAGGGTTTAAATGAAATGATTCTAAGAAAACAAATCTCTGTTTAGAAAAGAAGCTGACTAATTCTAAGTCAAGTCGTATAACATTCCTGTATCTAATATATTTCTTTCTATATTAGTTTTTCCGAGATTTAACGCGTACAAAGATGTTTGCTCTTGGAATGTGAGATGAAATACGAATTGCACATGTAACACTGATATTCGAAAAAACCCATAACGTGTAACTGATAGTCATGAACCTATTAGTTTCTTGTACGAATTTTGTTACGCAATTGAGATACTTCGCAAATAGTGGTTGGAAATATGTGATGCACGGAAGTGCATCAGCTAGCGCAGCGTACTGCTGCAACATGAGAATGCAAACGTGTTGCAAGCAGGACTTTTAACATCGCTCTTAATACGACAGCGAGCGGCGCACGCAACACGCACGGTTTAGTACGGATATATTTATTCAGTAGTTCGCTATGAAGAGGGTCATCCGCAGCGCGCGGAAATAGACGACGATACCACCTGCAGGGTTTAGAGGCTTTAAAAGCGCGGTAGTGCGGTCGGCGAGGGGAGGAAAAGACGCGAAGGGAAGCAGCCCGCCGACTATCGCATCCTGTAAATCATGTATAATTGTAATTTATACCGCGCATCATCCTATGTTAATTACAACGGGGAGCCGCGTCATGCCTCGGCCACGACGAAACGAGTTTGCGAACGCGCCGCGACGCCAGGATTTACGAGCTTCGCGGAGGGAGAACCCTCTCGCAGCGAGAAGGTTCGGTTGCATCGTTCCGGAATATTTTCTCTTTTCTTCTTTTTTTTTTTTTTTCTTTCCGTTCGTATTCGCGTTTTCTTTTCTCTTTCTCTCGCTCTATTTTGTTTCTTCTCTCTCTCTTACGCCGGAACCGCGCGATATCCCGCGGATTGCGACGAACAGTCGGCGCAAACGTAATGAACGACCTTCGGAGCTTTTCCAACCCACGCGAGTTCACCCGGCGGATAAACTACGAAATATTATCCCGTCGCATTCTGCCTCGGGGATTGTCAACTGACGTGCACGCTACGCATGAGATACTTGCCGATGTATATCGCATGAGTTATGAGCGAATGAATGCAACTTTATTTCTTTCTCGCGGCCGCACAATGCGCCGAAGATGTGCTGCGATGTCATTTGCGCTCGCAAACATATGTCTTATGCGCCAAATTTTAATTAAAACTCTCGTCAAATTTATATGGACGAATAGGAGCAATAGGTCCTTCAAAGCGAAATAAAATATGAGGATACATCTATGTATAAATGAAATAGACGTATGGAAAAGTATGGCTACATAGGAAGTTGAATGCAACGCATACTCATTGTCAGTCTTACATTTTGCCGCAGATTTCGAATCTCTCGAATTTCGGTTTTGCGCAATGATACGTGCATTTTCAGTTGACTGAGCTAAATTTTTATAGTTTCATTTTTTTCTTCATCTTTACCGCTCATTCGATCGAATGCACTCGCAGGGGTTCGGGCTTGAGCGCAGACACAAACGATGTGCCGCACACAAACGCGAATACGATGCAATCGGCACGGAATGGCGTAAGAGAGTACTCGAGAGCGACGGACTAGCCTCCGGCGGTAAATGGCGGGCGAAGAGCCGGACATTCGATGCCTCCGAAGCTCATCGGTTCGCAGCTGACGTGTACAAGGAAATGGCATTTAACGGATTAAAATCAGCCGTCCGGGGAGCTAACGTGCGAGAGCTCAATAACGGCCGACCGGAGTTGGATTTTTGCGCGTTCGATTTTTTTCCGAGACCGCCGATCAGGCGGCACGCACGACTTATCGATTTTGTTATAAAGCACCGCCAATGGGTGCGAGCCGTTTTATGTATTGCGTATTGTTTCGCTGACGCGATGAGAAATTATTCAGCAAAAATGCCGTACATGGCCGACGAAAAAGTACTATCGTGCTAAGTATATAAACACATAACCCCGTGATTGACGTATTGATCAATAGCGTGAACTTTATAGGGAATCTAAGTGACGATCGATGGATTGTAGTGTGAGAAATTGAGAATAATATCTGTGCGTCATCGTAAATTTATAAAAATATCTTTCTAAAAAATTCTATTTATAATTTCCGATTAAGTTTAATTTAATTTGTCTTGTGCCAATATTTCACTTTTAATATTCCACTAATAATAATTTTCTAATTAATAATGTGAGTAAATTGTCTGCATTTAAAACTGGTATTAGTAAATGTGCTTCTCGAATAGATACGAGTCGATGAACTTTCACTTCACTTACTTCACTCTTACCCCACTTTGAAGGAGCAAGTTGAACGTGCCATCGAACGTGCCACTTCTGAAAAAAAAAGGATTAACAAAAGTCGGTGTTATCTATATGAAATACACCGTTGCAGAACCACACAATATTTTACCTCGTGGCGACCATCTTTTTTCACATTCGGCAATACTCTATCGGAGAGTATAACGAGATTTCGGGATCGATGACGCTAACGGCGGGCGCCATCATTGAATTTGCTAACGAGACCCGTGACGATACCACGCCATCGACTCAGCGGAACTGTCATTAAAAAAAGCCAGTTATAGCGGGCCGCCTGTACCAAGGGAAAAACACGCAGTCCCGCGATTGCGGCAAACGAAGCCACTTTGAAAACGGCGAACATAATCGATACGTCTGTGCCGTACGGGCAAACGAAACGGATGGAAAAAGCTGGACGCGGATTAAGCCGCGGCGCGCAATGTCGTTGACAATTCAGCGAGGTGAAAATGTTTTGCCGGCGTATCTGGTCGCGCCAGCTGTTCCGTATGGCACCACCGCCGTCGATACGTACGCGTATTGGGAAAGATAATTCAATGTGTAACAAATTGCTCTTTGACGAACTTTCGTGTCTCGCGCGCCGTTGTGGACCACGACTGACTGTGACTGGACAGCCGATTCGTCTGTCGAGTCAATGTTTGCAATGCTTTGCGTTTTCCTTTATCGCGTGAAGAGTTTTAATTAAGTCTGGTCGTCTGATCGCTCGAAATGTGCTTACTCTTCTTGGTTTAATGTGGTCATCTCTATTTATAGGAGAGTTTATCTTCAGCATCACGTTTTTCGTTGTATTAGTATCTGGAAACGTTCCTAATAAATGAGGTAATCTTCGCGGCGCATTAAACGATTAATTAAATTCTTTTTTTCTTATTTATTTGAATTATACACGGAAAATATAGTAAGATAATCGTTCTACGTGCGATTTTGTCGCATTAAATTATTTACTACAAAGAGATCACATTCCTAAAATAATGTGACTTAATTATAATGGATGTTCTACGAAAGTTTGATTTTAATGCAAATTATATAACGGCACATGAAAACATGGAAACTAGAAAATGTTCACGTATTTTACATCAAATGTGGTTGCAAAGTTTTAACATTATAATATGAGCATTATTCTACAATATGCCATAAATGAGCAACTTTTGCAACGTATAGAAAACAAGAATGTAAAAGTTTTTTTTTTCAATAGAACGATATAATTTATATCTAATTGCATAAACGTATGTATGTGTGAATGTGATATTGTTCTCATGAAAATAACAGAAACCTTCGCTGTGGCGGTGGTTCTAATGCGACGTCGTTTAATCACATACAAATCATTTTACTGTAATTTATTTCAGCTTAATCACCTAGGCCATTCATTTTTAACGAAAACTTCATGACGTAGGGACGTAATCACACGTCGTTCTATATACATGAGAGAATTTTTTGCCGGCACGCTAATGATGCTCTCGACAAAAAATTCGTGCGACATTATCATAGTCGAAATTATTAATATATTCCGTAATTTGGAGATGAATCAATGTTTATGTGTTTGCAAGATAAAAAAATCATTAATTTATAATAATAATATAAAATTCATAATTTTTTACAACTCTCCGATGATTACGAGATGAATATTCGTAAAATATGAATAATGATACCATGAAACTTTTACATTTTTATTTTTTGTATTGTTCTTGTGTTTATTTAATATCAATTACCACATTCAATTTTATTTAAACTTGTTATTCTAATGAGTTTAATAGCTCAATAAATCCGTTCTGTCAGTAGATTAATTTGACACCCGACATTCTTTGCGAAAAGGATTTGGACGAAGCGTCGTATCATCCGGCGGCTGGACAAAAATTGATCCATTTATGAAAAGGTCAATTTCGACGCGCCGAGCCACTGACGTCGTTAAATCTGATTGCCGCCGCAGCGTCGCGCAATTCTTCTCGACGGCGACCGCCGCGCATTCACGATTAACGGCGAATGCATGCCGGCCGCGTCTGCGTTCTGTTTGGCCCGACGCTAACGAACTATGAATTCCAAAAGCAAAGAAGTAAAAACAAAAAATACAAAGAGAACGCACTGCGGCGGGGCGGTTATTCCCCGCGAGCCGTGACGACCGAAAGTTGCGGTCGGAACTCAATGAATTATTCACGTCTGTTCTTCGCCCAACCGATTTCGTAGACGAGAGTGTCCGAGTGACGGGAAGAGCCAGCCCGACATGCAGCTGCGAGTGGCCGAGCACTGGTTCACGATAACGACGGCACCAGATGGAAATTCCGTTCGCCGGCCGGCCAGCCGACCGTGCGCGACTAAGGTGTTTCGCACACGCATGCTTGGCATGATGGCACGTGAACTAACGCGAGGGCTCCGCGTGTGCTCACGCCCTCGGTCATGTAAATTGGCGAACGTAAATACGCGGCCCACACGCTCTGCAACAAGCGTACATACATACACACGCGCAGCACCGGCCGGTTTATCTAGAGCATAACCCGACGACCCGCATTAATCGTCGTCGTCAATCAGAGGAACCCGTCACCACTGCCGGAATGCGATTAATATCGATCAGCTTGCGTCTCTACCGTGAACGAGCGATATCGACCTTGCGGAGAATCAGGCTGCTCACAGTAATGGCTTCCGCGCGATACGACGTCGTTTACGATGTTACGAGCAGAAACTGTATAAGCATGTAAGCACACACACACACACACAGAAATTGGTGATAGTTTTGAGAGAAATTAAGTGAGAGATCCGATTACTTCATTTTATATTACTCATTTTTTGTAATTGCGACAAAAAGGCATAAATTTTACATAATATTTTAGATAATTGTGTATTATGTTCTTAGAGATGTGCGATTCAAATCACTACTTTGTACCGTTTTTGCTCGCGATCGATATTAGTTCATTAGTATAATTATAGCAAGCAGAAAGCTCACGCGAAAATCTCTCGAGAGGTGAAGATCCCCAATTGAAGTTCGCGATCTCTATCTCTTGACGCGCGAGAGTCAAAGATTCAGCGAATTTCTCATCGAGTTGTGGTAAATGAAAGCTGATTAGGAGCGACTCGGCAAAATTATCTCCATAATCCGTTTCCAGCGCGGATTAAAGGGATCGTACTCAAATAGGATTTTGGATTCAGTTCCAAATTTAAGGACGGGCCTTACGCCGGTCGTCTTTGCCCGATCTTCATTGGTATTCACGCTCCGCCAGCGATCGGATCTACTCTCGTCATATTGCGCGAGGTGGCGAGAAAATGAGTGGTCGTCAGATGCATGCAAAAAAGGAATTAAAGCAGCAGTAAACTCGGCCGCGATGAATCCCGCACTCGCCGGAAATGAATTTCACAAGAGGCCGAGTCGGGATTGTCTAACGAGAAACGCGTCGGCGAATAGTCATCCCCATTTCATTGTCAAACCGGATTACGAAAGCCGCGAAAGCCTAGATTCTAGGATGGGTTTATGCAGGAATTATGATGATGCGATAATCACTGCAAGAAATAACTGGAATAAATTGTAGAGCTATCTCGGGTTTATAAACTTCACAAATAAGAGAAATTCTATATTATATTAATTTAAATAAAACACTGCGCAGAGTTAATTCGCGAGATAGGGGAGGATGTTTTTAAGAATTATACTGCTAATCCTATCATATTATATCAATTATAAATAGACGTCCGGAGCAGATGGGTGCCCGCTGGGATGTGCTCTCTCTTGGAGCAGTGCAGGAATAGATTTGCATGCTGCTTGTCAGTAAAGATGAATGGTAATTCACAAAGCTGACGTGGTATAACAATATGCATTTCGTTACCGAGGAGAATGCAACGCAGATGCGCGCGGAATGTGTATTAGACGCATATAGTTATAGTGTAGCTTAACTTCTCATTAACCCAAATATCTTGACAAATAAATGCAAGTTACGGTGTGTTTCATACGAATGATTGTATTGCTAGTGGTGCATCTGTTTCGCTTGTCTTATTTATCACTCTGCGCGAAGTGTTCCAGAAATGAGACGGCTCAGCCATCGCATTTTGCTCTCAAACACCGCATTTTTTCATTTTAGCTCGAGTTTTGTAAAAGGTTACTATGTAGAGCAGTTATTTCATTTTTAAAATGTTTGTCAAAAGCTTTAACGAACGCATTTGTGCATAATCGCGTAATTGTTATTTCCTCGAAATAAAGAAACCGCGGGTTTTTTCGAATATACTGATGTGTTAAAAAATAGCTTGTTATAAAATTTTATTTTACACATATATACACATCCCTGTGTATTTTTCATGCCTATTTTTATTTAAAAAATGATAACAATGGCGAAGAGAAAATAACATTTTGTATTTTTGGATTTTCAGAAACCACGCTGGCGCTAGGCAGTGACATCATTTGGTAAGTAAAGCTCTGAAAGTATGTTTTCTCTTTCCTGATGATGCTCGTTCAAGAGCAAAGCGACTGTAGTTGATAACGGATGGCCGACGATGGCGATAATGCTTCGTGACTCATAATACGGGGATCTCGCAGAATCAACCATGCTTTAGCTTCGCGCGGGAATTTTTTTCCGAACGGGCATTCTACTCGCGTTATTTGGCAAGCTCGTAGAATCCGCACTTGCGAATCTCACAAAGTTAAACTTAGCCGGCAAAAGACGCCGAATACCATGAAGTTATAAACTGTAATAAATCGTTCCGAAATCCTAATGTAGGTTAACGCCAAGGGTGAAAGAATTATCTGCCGAATTTACGACGAGCTTGTTGCCAAAACCGCTGTCGTAAAGAAAGTAGAATCCACCCCTCGTCGAGAGAGAGAGAGAGTCGGTATCCGCGACGATAATGGACTCCACTCTCTTGTGATGTGGGAAGAGTCGATGGGTGCAACGAAGAAGGTTAATTTAGAAAAGAGGATTGCGTCTCGGACGTAACATTTGTAATCCTTAACAAAGAATCGGATGTTTCGACCGATACAGAGGCGCGATTTTACAGGAGGAGAGAATAACAAAGTGACAATGATAGAAACATACACGTACGCTAACAATTATTATAATAATTGCATTACAGAACCGTTTTCTTTTCCTTATATTATTGTTTCTATCAGCATATGATTAACAATTACTATTCATATTTATGTCCGATGATTATTGCAAATGATTATTATTATATCAAAATTGATATTAATTATTACAAATGATCACTATTAAAATCGATGATTATTATTACAAATAATTATTATTAAAATTCATTACTATTCATTATTAATATTATTATAAGTGCGTAATGATATTACTATCTGACACGCAAATTATTAAATTATTATAAAGTGCATATGCAATTATTATCTGGTAAGCATGCTCTAATGGTTACATGACTAATTTCCATTCGTGCATTTAATACAAGGGAATCCGTGATGTTTTATTCAAAGTTTTGTTTTCTAATTTTTACATGGTGACAATAGATCGTGCAAATTAAATTTGACAATAATAGCAATTACCAAATATATTACGAGAGTTTTGTGATATATGAACTCTCTTAATAATAGAAATATAATATGGCTAATAGTTATTGCTAAACTTATTCATATTTTATATTTGCTATTAATTTATTCTTTAAATCAAATAAAGTATTTTTAATAACTCTGAAAAACGTTAAATATGTACAAAAATATATCAGCGCGCGAATGTAAAAACTAATATAATCGTTATTAATAATTAAAAAGGTGTCGATATTAGCGCTACTGTCCATTTTCGTTTAACGATTAATCGATTTTAATAATGGTGGTCATATAAAAATTTACATGATTAATTGTTCGTATAGAGTGACAGCTTTCTAGTTGATGTGATAATTATTAACTTCGCGGAATAATTATCGCGAACCACGGGCCCGAACGGACATGCGGCGCCACGAATGAGGGAGGCGAATTGTTCCTTTCGTCGCGTCAACGTTACACGGTCGCGCGACTGTTTGGACGTTTCGCGAAATAACATCGAAGGCTGGGAAATGAAGGGACGTGGGGAATGGGAAGGGTGCGTAAATTACGAGGAGCTTGTTCGTGCCGGCAATAAATCATACGTGGGGCTGACAGGAGCCCGGTCGCGACACCGTTGCACACCGTTGGCCGATTTAAAGTGTGTACGTGCGTGTCGCGGGTATTTCAGAATTCGAATTCAGGAATGTATCGGACGGAGATGAGGGCGAATTTCGCTTGTCAATTAATTCTATGGCTTTCCAATACCTCGCGTGTCCATTGGAAGTACGCCTTCTCCGATTGAAATCAACTTATCTCATCGAACTTGGAAGAATTCAATCAATTATCGACACTTGTTATTCAATGGCTTTGAATAAATACATTAATTTCAGCGATGCATTAATCTGAGCATAGTAATATTATTTGATAATTTTATTGACAAAGCTTATTGAAAGTTCCCGCAAAATCTTAACTCTACAGCTAATAATGTATGAACGATTTTTGAAACCATTCATTTATATTTTAACAGCAGATATTAAAAATAAGATAAAATTACAGTTTTGTCAATATTGGAATAATAATACAAAAATATTATTTAGATATGAACTCTTCTATTCTTACATTTTTACAACATTGTTATTAAAAATCAACAAATCTAAACGGGATAATATTAAGATATTCAGCTGCGATTGCGACAAATTATGAATGGATCTTAATATCAGTTCCACGGCATCAATCTAGGCATCAATCTATAGATCGTCAATTACTGTCACATCCTGTCTGCGACAGTTGTGTCATCCTTCGATTTTACCGGCTCAGCCTAACTAATGAAAATCCTCGGAAAAATTGACTTTCACCCCAGGTTCCTCCCGGTCGTAAAATCTCGGAGACGAAGGATCTTCTCGTAACCTCAGCTCGCCCCCCCCCCTCCCCCCACCCGCGTCCGTTCTACAATCGTATCCAGGGAAGAAAACTCGAGAGGAATTCAATCTGGTCTATGTGACTAATGAACGAATAAAACGCAAACGCTTCTGTCTGTCGCGTTTCGTTCTCCCGTTCCCAGTTGCCTCCGAGAAACACTCGCGAGAGAAAAGTTGATGGTCTTTGAACATCGGAAAGTTAATTCGTCGTCGCAGCGAAGTAGCATTATGACTCAGAGCTCAGTCGCACGTGAGTTATTATTAATTATCTCGATAGCGTTATTCTTCAGCGCTTATATAAAATACATAGTTCCAATGTTCAGTTGGCTTCGTTCAGTTGCTGCGCGAGCATTTTGCAACGTCGCTTCAAAATACCATGATTAAGCGTCCCATTACAATCGGTGTAATGACAATGGTAATTGTAGCACTCTGTAAATTAGCGCGCTGCACTGTATCGCGCGACGAAACGTTTTACAACTCACGCTGCATTTAGCCCGATGCGACGACGTGTTATGTGTGCAACAATCGTATTTCGCTATGTTAACTATAATTTCTAGCAGCCGACTGCATATCGAGCGTTTGAATGAAGAGCGATGTATCTTATTGAACAAAACGTTGTCAAGTTAGTTTCACAAGTGATGTAGTAGCATTTTCGATGTATGAGGATAAAATATAACTTTTAATGAAACATCAGCGTCCGGCAAATCGATTTATATTGCGTACGGGATGCCCGTAATATTATTGCCATAAATCACAACAGAAATGCAGTCACGATGGCGAAATTGGCAATATATATTTATACGATATCGATGAATGTGCTGACAAATTACTTTGAGCGAATCAATATCGAGGAGGAACTGAAAAATAAGTCAAAGCATAGTCCGGAGATACTGGAATTTCTCGACCGAAGGTGATAATATCCGCGATTTACGGATGTTCCTTTTATCTCTAACTGAAGCGCAGCCGTTGCAATTTTCTCCGGAAAGCATTGGATTTTTATTAGCGTCTAAGAATAGATATTTAGTAAAGTTACTTTATGAAAAATATTTGAGCCAATGCACTGTTGACACTTATCATTTTAAAGTAATAAGTCATCGTCTTATTTGCACGAGAGTTGGATGTCTCTAAGAATAATATTGATTGGAGTATTAATCATATTATATGTAGTCAAGAGTTTTAATACGATATTTCATTAAAAGTTATATTTTATCCTCATACATCGAAAATGCTACTACATATTTCTTTTTAAATGTAATTGTGGGCCATACGTGCATACTGCATAACGCCAAAACCATCTATTCTAATTGTTAAAGAATGAAGACTTGTCAAAGACAAAACGAGATAAATTTTTAATGCTCAGTACGATGCACTCTGTGTATTAATTGTTAAAAGCATTGATTTTAAAGTACGGAGGATGGATTGCCTCGAGTTTCCGACCACTATGTATACGCAATAATGAAACAGCCGTCCATCTTGGAAGTGCCCTATGAATAGTTCAACTAATGCTCACGAAATGGAGATTCTGTAACCTGCTATTATTTCCGCGAATCAGACTTCTGCGTCCGTTTGGAAAGCCGCCGCGATACTTGCATATCCGCGTCCAGAGGAAAATTTCACGGACTAATAGCCGTCGTGCTAAAACTGCAGCGCGACGTGTCCTATTTGGCGGTGGCCGAGAAGTACAACCTTTATTTTATGTAATAGCCGGAGAGAACTCACGGTCCCATGCGCGCCGCCTTTGTCTCGCAAACTATCTCGGGTCATTTGTAATGACCGGCAATATAAAGTTCGACGCGTATCGAGTCAGCGCGAACGTTGCGCATGCATTAGAAGCGAAAAAGACGGCGATTCCGCGGTTACCGCCGTCGTTGCCGAAGGCGGAACGGAAGACAGGCGACTGAAGGAAAAGTTTCGTGGGGAGTTCGGCACTTTAAAGCGGTTTCCATGCGAGCCCCGTTCTGCGAAAACGAAATTTAAGGGTCACTCGCCGGTGGCAACGACGGAGGGGCTGCGAGGGGAAGATAATAGGATAAGGAGAAGTTTCTTTTAGAGCGCGCACAGGGAATTCGTCGATGTAGCGCCGAAAACGATTGTTCTCGATTGACTTTGGGAATTAAAAGGACGCGTCGGGCATTTGAATCCCGATTTTTTATGTGCATTCAGAAAGCATCAAAAGCGTTCATCATCGTAACGTAGGAAATAGCTAATCCGATCTGTTCTGACTGTTTGAAATATTAACTCGGACATAAATTAATTATCTTAAAGTGGAATTAGTATTATCGAGTTTTATTACTTTATATTATATATTAAGTTTATAGCGCATTGAAAATATTTTGTAATATAAGATTCGTACATTTTGAATATTAGTTTCTCTCTTATTTAACAGAGGAATATTAATTAAATGATAAATGAATCGTTTTTAGTGTTATTAAGTAGTTTATTTAAATATTGCTTTGTGTCGAAGATTAACTGTACACATTATAGATATGAATAGCCGGAAGGGAGCAACAC